GGTTATTGGGGGTCCTGTGGGTTCTTTTTTTTTTTTTTTTTTTTTTTTTTTGAGACAGAGTTTCGCTCTTGTTACCCAGGCTGGAGTGCAATGGCGCGATCTCGGCTCACCGCAACCTCCGCCTCCTGGGTTCAGGCAATTCTCCTGCCTCAGCCTCCTGAGTAGCTGGGATTACAGGCACGTGCCACCATGCCCAGCTAATTTTTTGTACTTTTAGTAGAGACGGGGTTTCACCATGTTGACCAGGATGGTCTCGATCTCTTGACGTCGTGATCCACCCTCCTCGGCCTCCTAAAGTGCTGGGATTACAGGCTTGAGCCACCGCGCCCGGCCCATGTGAGTACTTCTTATAGCTATAGTAATTTCAACCAGGGGCACCAATCATTCTGGTTTGTGAGGGATGGCGGGATTAGTGCTACAATGAGGGTGGTGGTCTCTCTCAGGCAATACGGAACGGGCAGGCATCCTAATGCTCACCTCCCTTTTACGGCTCAAGTCTGAATACTGAGGTCTGCAAGGACGTTATACTGAGACCTACAAGGACATTTGTCTCACATTGCAATGAACAGCCACGGGGCTCTAAATCTCATTTTGCTTAAATCCGTTTCTGTAAGAAATATTATAGCATTTACTCCTTTTCATTGTATAAGACATGTTGAAATATAGCCATTCATTTCTAAATCCTTCTTTTCAGTCACTTTTAATATGCTTTTAAAAAGAGAGAAAAGACTTCTTGGGACTGAAACTTCACATAGTTGGACAAAACCCAAAAGTGAATATTTATTTCAGCAAAATTCATTCAGGGTCTTGATAAAGTCAAGTGTGTGAATATAAAATACACCTTTTCAGCCTGGGATCTTGCCCTTTGCTGCGCTTGGACGGCTGAACTATGAAATGCCGGGTTGACATATTCAGTGCCTCCAGGAATGTGACCCAGAAGAAAGAAAGGAGAATGTGGCTCTCCTAGAGGTGGGCAGGCCGGTCAGCCAACTTGGCTGGGCTCTGGAAGGGTCCAGCCCATGGGATCCCACCGTATCGCAGGTGACTCTTCCTGCTCGAAGTCCAGGAAACCACAGATTCCCGCACCTTCATTACCGAGGGGTGGGTGAGGGGGCATCTACATTCTCCTTCTCAAGCACAGCTGTCATTTGTTCCAATTTTGTCTCCCCATCCTGAATCCAGCACGAGGAGGTGTCTGCATCTCACAGAGGATGCATTCACAGAGGCTGGGGTGGAAGGATCCATCAGCACCTTCAAATTCCAGCCCTCACTGCCGCCAAGACAGGGCGCCACGTTCTCACGCTCGAAGGACGATCCTGCACCAGCGCTGCGTGCACAGGGCTTTCACCTTTTCATTTGCTCACTCATTCCCACCCTGCAGGGAGGCCACCCTGGGAGAACCCAGTATACACGAGCATCCATGGAAAACAGACCAAGTTAAATGAGACACGTGGTGCTGTCTTACAGGGACACAGCACACAGAGCGGGTGTGGTAGGTAAAAACTCAATAAAAGGACCCAGGCAAGGCCCTAAAAGAACTGGAGCCACAAAAAAGTGTCCTAACTCATTAAATCCCATTCATTTGTTCATTCAATAAATACTTTTTCATTTACCATCTGTACAACTTCTTTGATGAGGTCAGATATTTTCCTCATTTTTTAATTGGGTTATTTGTTTTCTTATTGTTGGGTTTTAAGGATTTTTTATATTTTTTAAATGCCAGTCCTTTATCTAATAGAGATTTTTTAAAAAATTGAGTAGGGGCCAGGAACAGTGGCTCAAGCCTGTAATCCCAACATTTTGGGAGGCTGAGGCAGGAGGATTGTTTGAGGCCAGGAGTTCAAGACCAGCCTGGGCAATATAGTGAGACCCCATCTCTGCACACACACACACACAAATTAATTATCATGGCACGATGGCTTACACCTGTAGTTCCAGCTAACTGAGAGGCTGAGGCAGGAGGACTGCTTGACCCCAAGAGGTTACAGCTACAGTGAGCTATAATTGTGCCACCGCACCTCAGCCTGGGCCACTGAGCAAGACAGTGCCTCAAAAGGTGGAAAGAAAGAAAGAGAGAGAAAGAAAGGGAGGGAGGGAGGGAGGAAGAAGGGAAGGAAGGAAGGGTATGTCCATATCAAGTGCTGTCCTAGAAAGTGAACCAAACAGAAGTCCTGCCCACATAGAGCACTTTTTTGTGGGATGGGCACTATTTTATCAAAATGGCCAGTGAAGGTCTCTTTAATAAGACAGCATTTGAGCAGAAACCAGAAGGAAGGGAAGGAGCAAGCCTCGCGAAAGGGAGGAAAGAGAGCTCCAGGAAGAGGTAGGTGCGTGCCAAGGCCCTGGGAGGGAACGCACCCGGCCTGTCTGCAGAAGAGCACGGGAGGAGATGGTTGGTGTAGGGGTGGGTCCCGGTGAAGGACTTAGACTTTGGGCTCTGTGTTAGTTTCCTGTGACTGCTGTAACAAATTGCCACAAACTGGCCAGGCAAGGTGGCTCACGCCTGTAATCCCAGCACTTTGGGAGGCCTCAAGTGTTGCTGAGCACTCACGCAGATGATGGACCACTGGATTCAACAGCACTAAAGCCAGCAGTGACCTTGGCAAGAGCCACTTTTGTGAAGTGGTGTGGATATGAGTAATGTGGACCAGAGCTAGCTGGAGTAGCATCAGGAGAAGATGGGAGGGGACAGCAGGTATGGACAACTGTCCTAGAGTTATCTATGAAAGTCATTCGTCTATGAAGAGGCACGGATAAGTGAGGCAGTATTGAGAGAAAGATGGGGGTGTCAGGAGAGAATGTTTTACTACACCATTTTGTTTATTTACTTGTTTTGCTCCTGTTGCCCCAGCTGGAGAGCAGTAACAGATCTCGGCTCACTGCAACCTCTGCCTCCTGGGTTCAAGCGATTCTCCCGCCTCAACCTCCTGAGTAGTTGGGATGACAGGCATGCACCACCACACCCAGCTAATTTTTGTATTGTCAGTAGAGACGGGGGTTTTACCATGTTGGCCAGGCTGGTCTTGAACTCCCAACCTCAGGTGATCCGCCCACCTCGGCCTCCCACAGTGCTGGAATTACAGGTGTAAGCCACAGCGCCCAGCGTCTCTTCCTCATTTTTTTTTTTTTTTTTTTTTTTGAGGCACAGTTTTGCTGTTGTCGCCCAGGCTGGAGTGCAATGGCGTGATCTTGGCTCGCTGCAACTTCCGCCTCCCGGGTTCAAGTGATTCTCCTCCTCTGCTTCCTCGGTAGCTGGGATTACAGGCACTAGCCACCACGCCCAGCTACATTTTTGCAGTTTTAGTGGAGACGGGGTTTCTCCATGTAGGCCAAGCTGGTCTCGAACTCCTGACCTCAAGTGATCTGCCCTCCTCGGCCTCCCAAAATGCTGGGATTGCAGGCGTGAGCCACCACACTCCAACCTGGGTGACAGAGTGAGACTCTGTCTCAAAGAAAAAAAAAAGACATGAACTGAAGAGGACAAAGCAGAGTCTTAGATCCACAGGCTCACCACTGTGGGCTTAGATGTTAAAATCATCAGAGGCTGTCACTGGCCCACACTAGAAAGGTCACTCGTTTGTGCCCCTCAGTTGTGCCCTCATGAATGTTCACTCATCGCTGTCCACCAGAGACTTAGTCTCTACATTAGGTACAAGCCGAAACTTATTGTGTATTAAGCAGGTTTACTTTCAGATGCTTCACCTGGGGCCATTTAATCTCTTTGGACTTTGGTTTTCTAACTCATGAGATGACAATAGTAGTTTCTAATTTGGCTGTTATGAGGTATAAATGAAAAAAAATGTATAGGCAAAGGATGGTGGGGAACGCAGGCACCAAACACACAGTACAACTGTCTGGTAAACAGTAAAGTCTCAATAAATGCCAGCTGCCATTACCGTCATGTCTGGCATTGAACATCTCCTGGGAATCAGCCGCATCTCTCCTTGAACCCTCCCTAGGGCCAGTGGGGCTTTCAGCAGAGTAGAGGGGCAACTCCTATCTTGCAAGGATCAGCGAGAGGCGGGGACAAGCCGCTCTCTCTCATCACTTCTCCAAGGGGGTGGTTGCTGAGGCTCTGGAAAGGAATTGGCAGAGCTCAGACCCCCTCAAGGCTACTGTGCTGCAAGCATGTGGGAGTTCATTTCAAGCTTGATGCACATTCTTTGCTGAGCAGTTGCCAAGGAACGAGGTAATCTTGTGACAAATACTGCCTGATGCTGTCAGTTTGCTGGTCGAAAGGGTTTTAGGTGGTGTCAAATTGTATTACTAGCATTCCTGGTCTCCGTGAACGAATCATGTAAGAAGACAAGTTATGTCAAAGGACAAAACCACAGACCCAGATGGGCACCACGCATGTAACAGGCACTTGGTTTCCTTTTGATATTGACTCAAAGATGGACTGGATTATAAAAAGAATAACAGCAAGACCACATGCTTAAGCTGATCAGTAGTCTAACACTGGCTAGATGACGTTTGTTGATAAAATTGATTTCTTGGGAAATCCTGAGCAAGCTCCTGGAGGTGACTCTGTGGTCCTACCGTCACTAGCTTTGACCTCGGATGAGTCAGCGAGTGCATGAAGCGAACACACACAGCATGGTGACGGAGCAGGCACCAGGGACCACCTGCCTCCCCTGTCACAGATGGCTTACAAATAAGCTACTCACATACTTCCTAAGATCTGCTGCATCTAAACAGACCAAGCTCAGAGAGGCTTCTGAGGCAGACAGGGGCAGGGAGAGAGGATGGTTCTTCTCACTGGGTATTTAAGGAGTGTAGTATTGGGGGTGAGTGACTTTGGGTTAAATTCTGCTGATTATATGAAGCAATGGAATAACTACCACTGCCAACAGAGTATTCATATTGCAGGTCAATAAGAATTTCTGATACTGAAGTAGTTCCCTAGAGAGCTACTATGATCACATGGCTTGGTTAACTTTTTCTTATAAGTCTGAGCATGAATTTCACACACAAAGCCATACATTGACAAAGACAGAATGTTCCTGAAATAAAATCACACCATCTTATTGCATACACTACATCAACCAAGGTCAAAACTCTTTCATAGAGACATTTAAAACTATAACTGAGTAAAAAGGAAAATAGATGCAAATTTGCTTTTACAAAATTTGAAAATAAAAGAGTAAGGCAGAAGATGCAGTCAGCTACATGCACTTTAGAGAATGGGGCTTTGCTATCAGGTCTGGGACCCCATACCCCGGGCAAGACTGCCTGGCAGCAAGCGGGACCCATACCCATGCCCCCTCCACTTGCTCCCAGGGTTCGTCTTTACAGGATGGTGGGGAGCACAGGCACCAAGGCAGGAAGGCCCGGGCAGGGAGATGCCCCACGCCCTCCACTTTCTCTCAGTGCATACACACCAAGTTCCCTCTAACCAGGGGAACAGGACCCTAGGCACCAAAAGTCAAGCATGAGGAAACGTCTGGGCCACTTCTGGTTGTCACAGGCGGTCTGACAGGCGTCTCGTGGATGCTAAAGTGCCAGAGTTTTCAGGCTACTTGGATGGTTTACAGTGATGATGAGTTAGAGTCTTTAAACTCAAAGGCATCCTAGAAACCCAGGATGATGGCAACCCCGTTCATCCCACGGTTGGTCACTGAGCTGCCTATGAAGCTGTGCCTACAGTCATACCTGCATCCACAGGGGCACATCATCACCCTTTACGGAATCTAGATTTGTTTTCAGGATCTATTCTGATGAAGGAGACTTGAGAAGATCTATTCTGATGAAGGAAACTACAGACGAATTTGTTTCAAGGTTGGATGAGTTTGCTACTCAACTTCCATCACAGTTGTAGATTTCCCTCCCAGAATACAAGGCCTGACAGGCATCAGCTAGGAGGCAAACTTCATCTTCAAGACTGGGAGATGCCTGGCTACAGTTAGACCCTGCAGCAGGGTTAGAGAAGTCTCTCCAGCAAGGCTGGGAGTCCGGCTTCCAATAGATCTACAAAGAGGGCCCAGAGAAAAAGGCACGCTGAGTGGCTGGCGGCCTCTAGTGGTCACTGCTGGTCATCAGCTTTCCTCCAATACAACCAGTTGTCATGAGAATACAAAACAATCAGGAAGAAAAAGGTTTAGTATTTTGTCAAAGAAAACCCTCACATACTAAATAGCTGACCTGAAACAAAAATGATTTACACATTTTCTTCTGACTATGTATTTATTAAGTTCTAAAACCTTGAATAACTGCCATTTAAAAAATTCACACTAAAAGAAAACTAGATTTAACATCTTTTACAGAGAGTGGTAGGTAGCTTTTTAAATTATAATTATTGTGCCCAGGAGAAAGGAGAGCTCATCTTTTCAGAAGCGTCATCAGCTGGTGAACTTCATCTTGGTCTCCACTTTATGTCTTTTACTCCATGAAAATGTCTTTTCAAAGCAGTGTTATCCGCCCATGGAGAGTTTAAACAGGCGTCGTCATCATTTTCTTCTAATCTCTGGCAATAAATATGTTTTACTCAGGCAGGCATTTCAGAAAAGTGTTTTGCACATAAAGAGACTGAAGAAAGAGTTCAAGACTGACCTCCCCTCGCCCTGCCTTCTAGAAGCAGGACACGTCCAAGTCTAATGCTGGGGGACACCTGGCAGAACCCTGACAACCCTGCAGACAGAAGCTCTAGAAAGACTCCTCCTGGCACCCTGTAGAGCTCACCGCTCCTCACCAGCCCCAGGTAAGGCATGCAGGCTATGCCTGGGCGCCAGCGCTGCGAAGAGCCCACCTGCCCCCGCTACCTTGAGCTCTTCTTGCCTCCTGTGATAGTACAGCATCAGCTGCTTCTGCTCCTCGCTGCTGATGATGGGCTCTCGGGCTGGAGCGCCGTGTCCTCTCTGCAAAGAGCAGAGCAGAGCAAATTGTGGATTAAGGTGTTCTTACAGTGACAATCCTTAAAGTTACAACAAATGTTTTACAATTGCCTTTGCCAACTACTAAAAATAAACAGGTCCTACATCTGGTCAGCTGACATGAATCATCAAGGGAAGGCTTGCTCTTGTGCAGCCCTGAGCCCTGGACTCTCACTGTGTGGAGACCAAAGGCTGCACGAAGCCATCTCTGTCTCCGTCATTCCCAAGGCAGACACTGCAGGCAGGTCCAGTGGGAAAGGGAGGATGCTCAGAGTCACAGACCCTGGATTTTCATAGGGTGGATGGCCCCATTTCCCCAAAATCACAGCCTGGTGACATAGGAGGCATCGCAGGTAGACAGAGCTACATGATGTCCTTCAAAGGTCTCCAGCCTTTCCTCCTCCTCCCATACAGAGCATCCGCAGTTTGAAAAAGCCTGGAATCAGTGTGGGGCTAAATTTTACATTTCAAGGAAAATTTTTGTTTACTTGCAGCCCTATTTTTAAGGTTGAAATTAACATAGTATATTTCCTCTCCCCCACATATTAAAACAAACTCTAGATATTGCCAATCAATCCATATTTTCCTCTAGTTTTTGCTGGTGTACAGAAAGAAGATATTTTCAGTTTAAATTCGAGCCAATAGGATTAAAATAGTTGTACCAGTAGTTTAAATCTTTCAGATTCACTGCACATTTTTATCAGTTTGAAAGGAAATAACAAAAAATACTGACGTGTTAAAGCAAAAGCACTTACTTGCTGAATCTTGGCGATAATTTTGGTTTTTTCATTTTTCCCCACGTAGTCTGAAAGCTTCTTTGTTCTTCTCAGCTCCTTGGCTGCCCACCATAGCTGCGCCTCTGACTCTTTAATGACGCTGAGCCCTGCCTGGGGCCAATGGTAAGAACTGGCTTTACTGTGTGCTCCCACCTGGGGGGCAGAGCCCAGCTGAGCCGTTTTCAGCAGGGGGCAGGGGACAGATTTCTCCCTGCGCTCACCATGGAAGGGCCTGACTTCCCCACCCACTCAAAGTCCTGGCTGATTTCAGTACCTTCCCTGTTAAGTTTTCATTTATGCCCTGACTCAATTAACTTCCTCCACTGGGCAACAAGGAAATCCTATCTTTTTTGCACCTTGATCTACACAGTTCGTCTTGGATCTGTAGGCCACTGCCAAGGAAGGACACTGGCATCATGCTGGGTGTTTAAATCGAGGTAGAATAGGGCTGCCCGTGTACTTCTGCGTATTCCATTTATTTAAGATGGCTTAGACAAAGAATACTGTCCAACAGGATAAGAAGTGAGGAAACCCGAGGAAAATGGAACATAAGGGTCAGAAAATAACATGAAGCAATAGGTAAGACTAGAAACACAAACTTCCATGCAAAGGGATGGATGCATTTGGGTAGAAATAGGAAGAAATTAGGTAGCTGGCTTCTTAGTGGCCAAAGACAGCAGAAACATTTTCAGTTACTCCTGAAGGGCAGCCTCACCAACTGTGTCCTCACCTCCTGTGTATGGGGACCAAAGCCCTCACCCATGAGTACCACACTGTCAGGGGCCACTCCTGAATTCAGAACTCTGCTCTGAAGCAGGGCACAGCAAACCTGAAAGCTGTGTAGGGAGCAACACACTACATCCGGAAGAGGGGCATCTAATCCGAAGGGCTTTGGGAGGGCCATGAACTCACCCTCTGGAGTGCCCACCCAAGAACTACATACCTGCGTTCCCGACAAATCTTCCTTATTTTCAAACTCCATCTGGATGGGATCATACGGTGGCAACCCCATGGGATAAACAATCATCACTGCGCCTCGAAGCTGGTCCAAGGCATCCTTCACCATCTCCATGGTAACACAGACACCGGCTTCCACTTGTTTCTACAAGTAGAAAGTCATTGTTATCACAGTGTGGCTAATAAATACAGTAAACTCGACCAAGGTCTTGTACAACACCCTTGCCAGAGACTTCCAGAGCAACAAAAAGAAATCAAACAGTTCTTGCACCCAAAGTGACTACCACCTATTTTAGGGACTGAGCCAAGCACACCGCAGCCCACATTATAAAGCACAGATGGGAGCAAGGATCAGGAGATACGGCAGAGGGAGCAGGCACTGCAGGTGGGGCTCGGCGTGCAGACAGACTGAAGGGGTGGAGACGTCAGCAGGGTGCTTCAGGACAAGCTGAAACAAAGAAAAGCAGGCGCCAGTCCCTCAGCTGGGGCAGGAAGGAGAGGAGATGAGGCCAGCTTCAGCTGGCTGAGCTGGAGTTTGTTTTTGAATGGTCACAAAAGCCAGGCTGAGGAATTCACATTTCCTCTGTTAGGCCAGGGCAGTGACTGCCTTTTCTGGGAAGGAGTGGTAATGCTGAGAGATTTATCTTGTAGTTGGTATAGAACAGACCTAGTTGTCAGAGTACGGTGGCTCATGCCTTACATAATCCCAGCATTTTGGGAAGCTGAGGTGGGCGAATCACCTGAGGTCAGCAGTTTGAGACCAGCCCAGCCAACATGGCGAAACCCTGTCTCTACTAAAAATACAATTAGCTGGATGTGGTGGCAGGCACCTGTAATCCCAGCTACTCAGGAGGCTGAGGCAGGAGAACTGCTTGAACCCGGGAGGTGGAGGTTAGGTGAACCGAAATCACACCACTGGACTCCAGCCTGGGCAACAGAGCAAGACTCTGTCTCAAAAAAA